ATTCCTTATAGAACTCTGTTTTCCTATATATATTTGCTATCTTTATTAAGATCTTTCTCAGTCGGCACCTCCTGCAGCTGAAAAATCTTATCCTTGCTCTGAATCTCATAGGAGCTGAAGAAGGGAATTTATTCAAAGCCTATATTTGAGATTATCACATATCTGCTGCTTAGCTTCAAGAAGTAAACAAGTTGTTTGTGTTTGGAATGAGAACATTTTCTTCCTTTCAAGCTGCCAGAGGAATTCAGTACATCTTTCTGCAGTGGAGAATGGCTGGGTAAACTTTAGCCACCCTAGGAGAGGTAAAAACACAGAGACATCCAAGAGGATGCGGAATATCTGGATACCAACTGCAGCTCATCTCCAACCAGCACCTTAGTGTCTCTCCCTCTTCACCTTTGTCCCTTCTGGTTGTGAACCCCTGATGTAATTCTGCATTTTCTTGCAATGCCAGCACGGATAAACACATAAAACGCTGCTTGTATCTCTCCCCAGTTAATGATTACACTGCAGAGCCCACTCAGTGCAACACTGTGTCATGTAAAGTGGGGTAAGGAAATTCCTCACTTTGGAAGAAACAGTTCAGATTCATCTCCAACCCCCTGTGATCTCGTCTCACTTCACCTTTTTGTTTTCCATAAGGAAAGATTCTTTGTGAAGGAGGCAACTGTCCATACCTACCTACTTACTGCAGCCCTTACAAGTCACCTCCCAGGTTGATGAGATCTGGCAAGACCTCATTTTTTCAGGACAGATTAAAAACATAGATACCAAATTAAAACTTTGATTGTTGGTTTGTCTGAAGTGATTCTTATATATGCAGGCATGGAGCCAAATACTGAAAATTGTATCAAACTCCAGGAAAACTTGTATTTGTCACACCATAATCAATCACAAGAACAACAAGTTAAATGGATGCACACTAGAGTAACTCCATCTCTTGTGTCATCACTGTCAGTACAGAGCTATACCCACTGTGAGATGTATTCCAGTGTCAGTCCCTCATGCAAAAACCTTCTTATAGACCAGCATCCAAAATTACTTCTTCTCTATCAAGCACTTGGGTCTCCACATCTGCTCTACAGAAAGGCCCTGATGAAGACAGAACCTTGAGAAGAGGATTTTTCAGTTGTTTCTCAATATGGTGAGATGGGGTAATGCTGGGAGCAAGGACTGCATGGTTCATCAGTGCTTTGGACTGCTGAATATTGACCACATGCCATGTAAATCAGAAGTACCCAATGCAAAGTTTGTGGTCAAACAAAATTTACAGTGGCAGTAAGGCGGCAGCCTCAAGAATGTTTTGGTATTCCACATCTCTCCATTTTCCTAACTACTGTAAAACACCTAAATTATATAAGCCTAATGTACCTAACCAGCTCTAGGATACTATGCCCTTAGCCACAATGCACTCATGACGACAAGAGTAACTTCCAGCAAATCCTTTCTGAGATTTCCCTAATTACTGCTCAAGCTTCTGTCCCCTCAACACATGTGAAATACAATAATTTCCAAGTAATTTGTGTTTTATTACAGAGTGGCTGAGAAGACCAAAGCAGAGAAGCACAGCATACTGATTTTTGGGTTTGTTTTTTTTACAGTGCAGCTAAATTTAACATCAGTTGGTTTTTGTTTAAGAGAAAACACACACACCCCTAATTAAATCAGGTTTATACCCCCCCCCCCAGGTATAATTTTCATTAGGAAAACTATGCCCCAACTGTGCTATTTACCAGCCAGTGGCAAAAAGCTGTCTTGGAAGATGAATTCAGTTTCTTTTAAGACTGTCTGCTCCGTTCAGTGCATAATAACCAGTATTGATCAGACAGGTGACTACAGACTCAGACCTGGTACTGTGATTGGGTCTGGAGTTACACATGTATTTTTAAATACACCTTTTAACATTCCTTCAGCAGCCTGGCTCATTTCAACATTGGCTGAGCTCCAACACCAACCTGTGTCTAGAAACACAGGAATGTTCACTTCCTACGGCAAAAAGTGAACTTATTAGTGTCCACAGTGCCAATCTGGAATATGCACCCAAATGTACCTGGGGAGTGCTGTGAGGTTGCTGGGTTTGAGGTTTTTCCTCCCCTTCATTTCCTAATTACCCAAATGAAAGAAAGGATTATGGTCTTTCTGAATAGAACAACCTTGCTCCTACCAGTGCTGCTGGACCAGAGTAAGAATAATTAATTACTTGGTTTTCTTTACAACACTAACAAGATAATGAGAAGAAAGCAAACACGAAATTTGTGTGAGGAAAATCCCTCTTTTCCTTCACAAGATCTTAATCCTATTTGTGAACTGTTAAAAATAAACCCCCTGAACACAACTGCCAAAACCCAAGTGCAACAGGGTAGCTGTCACCTTTGTTCTGTAACACACCTAGACGTTGTAAAGAGCAGCAACACAACTGCAGAGACTCATTTACCTAATTAAACCTTCTCATTAGAGGTGTTGCTTTCTTGCTTGGAAATCAGAGAGTATTACCATGTCAGGGAATCATAAAAGAGCAGTATTGGATAATCCCAGTTCTTGAAACCATGTGCACTGTTTATCTCAATGCACAAGCTAAAACACCACAGGTCCTTCTTGTTTAATATTGGATTTGTTATATCCATCTTGAAACACAAGTTCTTCCCAAGACAAACATATGCCAAGGGAAAAATTACAATACTTCTGAGCTGAAAAATGTGTCACTGGAAAGAAGACTCACACCTGTTTGTTGACCACTGGCCATCCCTAGTGTACAGCAAGGGTGATGAGGCATTTGTTAAGACACCAAAAAAAACCCCCAGGAGTTTATTAAAAGAACTGACATCTGCTGAAATATGAAAGCAGTTAAGTTGTTACTTGTAGGTACCCACACAAATTAAGGAGGAAATTTAGCACCCTGGAAATAAGATAATAATACATTTTCGCTTAAATGCATACACACATGCACTAGTATTTCAAATGTGTCTCTTCACTACCAGTGCACAGATCCAACCAACTGCAGTACATACTGTGTACTTACCATGCCACAGAATAAATCAGAGCACCAACAAGTTAGGGTAAAGTGGGATCTTTCAAGAACAGATGAGAGGAACACAGAAAACCTGGCTTTCCAAGCAATCTGGAGACTAAGAAAAAACTGCAAATGCATTGATTTTGTTAAACTCTCAATACCTATTAAACATCTCCAGAACTTGTTTCTGTAGGTGGCAATTAAACTGTCTGGGTTTTATGGTTGCTTTCTCCTTGAAGCACTGAGCCAAAGGAAATCAGCATACCAAAATCTATGGTGAGTGCTCAGGCATCTGGAGCTTCTTGGAAGATCTTTATGCAAGTGGCTCCTGTCTTATATACTTATGTGACTGTTTCTTGTCTGCTGCTTCTGCCCACAAAATAGATTTATTGCAGCTGCTCCAGTTACCTTTCTTTTTATTCACACAGATATTTGTAAGAGCAACAAAGCCTGTTTAGAAAGTGTGAGGACTGCAGGTTGCACAGCTGTGCTGTGCTGCCCAGGGACTTCTGCAGAGACAGCTCAGAAATCAATTATCTCCTCAAATATCGCAGCAGAAGTGCTTTTAGTTCTGGTTCTTAAAAAATGGGTATAAACACTCAGAAAAAACCACCAAGAATACCCACAAACTTTAACAAACTGTCACTGCCTTACAAAAAGAAATGAGGTTAAGCATTTAGTCTTTCAATTGATTCAGAGCTCCTACAGGAAATAGATCTATGTTCACAAAGTATAATAATGTTTGATTTCAAATACATATTGGGGACCACAGTATGTACCAAGAAAGAACTTGTGTATCCTAATCAGCATCCAAGTTTGCATTACACACACACACTGGGTCCTTTGAGATAACCAGCATTCACTGCAACAAAAATATACTCCCAACAACAGAATTTCTCTATTAAATCCATGTTTATTGCTTAAGTTTTATCACAGTGGAGATTAAATTATGCTTAATCATCCGGTCAGTGCTTTTGTACCTTCTTCAATGCCAAACCCCCCCCCACATTTAAACCAAGTCATTCATACACTCTAAGTCTTCTTACCATCCCACCATTCATCGCCTCTGTGTGCTGCTTTAGTTGCCACGAACTGCGAGATTGTAAAAAGGTATAGCTAATAGGCTTATTTATAATACCGTTTTCTTCAAGTATTCAGAAAGCAGTACAAGGAGCTGTACTGTGTATTAGAAAGGTATCTGTACTGTTATTTATTGCTATAGGATCGAGGCTCCTGATGGAATGATAGTGAAATATTGCATCACTGTGTATGAAGATGATCTCAGCATCCCGTCAGCATCCCAACTCCTCCCATGTTAGTGAGCAACACTAGGTAAATGGGTTCCTTTCCTTTCTCTTTCAGGCATGGGATCTCAAACTACAAATAAATAAAGCATACACTCACAACGTGTGTAGTGCAAATTCCAAGTAAACAGAATGAC